CAAACCTTACAGAGTTAGACTAACATTTTTTTTAACTTCTCAATTTTTAGAAGGATTTTCAGTAGTGAGCGTTATGAGATTGAAAATAATGCACAGTACTACTAGGTTTTCTCTTCCAAATGAACTTATTAATATAACCTAATAAAACACTGACTTTAGCCACTAATAACACTAAGTAACTATGTCCACTCCAGTACGACTTGCTGTCTGGCAACACTGCTCAGCCTGAATTAAAACCCATGCCACATTTGTGTACTTTCCCCCAAAATGGGTCTTTGTTATCTTAAATGTGGGAATCACTTGCTGTATAGGGTTTTTTCTAGACTCTTGTATATTTGAAACTTGCTTAAAAATTAACCTATAGCCTGCATATTTGAGTATGGGGGTTTCCTTTATGAGTGTTAAAGGGTTTATTTTTGGCATATTTTCTGGAATATTTTCTGATCAGCATAATTTGCGTCCCTTGAAAAGATAAATGTGGTGGCCAAGTTCATGGAAGAATCTGAGTTGAAATGATTAGTCTAAAAATGAGTACTTAGATGAATAACGAAGATCACAGCCCCACGCAAATTAGGCTATGGAATAAATACGCATTTTAATAAATGATGGCATTCAGTAGTGTGCTTTTTGAGAGTGACAGTTCTTGCATGCATGACTTAAAATTTGTAAGAGGTATTCAATTGTGTGTGTGTTAGTTTTTGAGTCATATGTTGTTGTATTTAACTACTTAAACCTGTTTAGAGAAGAAATTGATCAAAATTGCCAGTTGGTGAAATATCTACCTCATCAATTTCTAGCTCTGGATAAAATTACAGTGGTTTTGTAGATTGAAGATTAAAAGACTTCTAGCTTCTACATGTTTGTTTCACATACAGCTTCATGCAAGCTCAGTGATTCTTAGAACAAGTGTCTTTATATCAGCTCTGGCTAGTTAATTTCTCCCCCACCCCTTGGCCCTGCCCTTATTCTCTATTCACCCCATTTCTCCCCAGCACCAGTTAACTAAGAACTCAGCAATTCATTAGGAAATAAAGCAAGGAAGGACTTAAAGTCATGTTTTGAAACACTTGGAAATCAATAAACCCCATCTTGCAGGAAGGCCTGGGTCCAGGCTAGTGCTGTAATCACAGAAATTTGATGGGCGATGAATGCAAAGTGTCTCCAACTGGGTCTGTTAGCTGACCTGCCTCTTGGTCCTTCCACTCTGTTTGTGAAGCCTGTTTGATGGGGATCTGTGCCCGTGTTCTGCTGGTCAGATGAGCTCAAGTTCTAGTCTTGTCTCTTCCTAGTACCAGATGCCCTTGATGTTCCCTCACGCATTTAGAATTTCCATATGTTCTTGCCGCCTGTCTTAGATCTGTGTATCACTTAGCCTTTTGACAAAAATGTTAATTTCTCAACATTGATTTTTACGAAGAACTAAATACAGATACTACTTTTGCTTTCCTGTGAAAGTGGAAGTTGCCAAGAGCAGAGAGAGAGACCCTTTGTGAAGTGACCTCCTACCTGATTTGGTGATGTAAGAATAGTGATGACTGGTTTGTTCTTGCCTCAGAGATATTGACTGTTAACTTTGAGGTGTCAGTAACTAACCGACTGTTAACTTTGAGGTGTCAGTAACTTCGCGGGGTGGCTAACCAGGAAAAACCCTTGTTTAATATTGACATAGAATTGCCCCCAAAAGTAATTTCCCTTTCTAAGTGGAAACTTGCCCAAACCAGAGATAAGTGGGACCAAATTTGCTATGATGTTTCTCTATACACCTTACATTCTATTCCTTTTGAAAAAAATTGATCTGTAGGTGGTTATGTCTTTTATATTATTTCTCCTCTGTATTCTGAATGGCTCAGAGGCTTCCTAGAAATTGACTGGTGTGTCTCTAATTTCTACTGAACCGATTTTATTAAAAACACTGCACCATAGGGGGTTTGACCTAAAATACCAAACGTGTCTTGCTTTAGAAAATCACAAAGCTCTCTGAAGAGGTTGTAAATCTGGTTTCAATATGGGTTGATTACAGGCTAAAAGCTTGAAAGCTGTGGCATCTAGTGTCATGAGTCTGGAACTAGCCTTTTTGGGGCCAGGACGGCTTTTTTCTCTTATAACTTCTAAATGGTCCTCTTCTCTGTCTCAGCTCAAATGACTTTAAACCAGCAAAAGTCACATGGTGTGATGAGGCTGAATTCATGTAGGGTAGTGGGCAGGGGCACTATGGAGTCTCAGCCTGGGTTCAAATGCTACCTTTGTCCCTACTAGTTATGTGAACTTGGACAAATAACTTAAGTTCTTTAAATATTCAGTTGTTACTTATAGAAATGGAGGCAATAATACTTTATAATAGTACTGCCAGGAGGTAAAGTAGCTATCATTATTAGACACAAGAGTCCTGGGTGAACTAGAACAGACCAACCTAACATGCCTCAAAATTTGAGAACTTGTGTTTATTATTTCTACAGTGGATGTTTTTACTTTTTAATATTTCAGGTCTTTGCATATTTGAGATTTACAGGCCCCTCAGACACCTGCAGACTGGATTTAACATGTTTAATATTTGATTTACTCCCTTTAGACTCACTAATTATTTTGGTTTGTCATCGCTTCCTTTTGGAATAATTTGATGGCTACTTATAAGAATATCTTCATTTTATATACTTATTTTTTTTTTTTTTGCTATTTCACAGAATAAAGTTCTAGAGTTTCAGCTGCTCTGAGTGGTTAATCCATTGAGAGAACCAAGAGGGTCGACTTGAATGACAGATAATATGTTAGAATTGCTTGAATGCTCTGTGTCTGGTTGATGTATTCTGAACAAATGTGCCCATCAATTATAATTTGCTCCATACGTGCACTTAACAAAATACAAATAGTTCCACAACTGGTTTTGGAGACTTAGTGAATTTGGGGCAATGGTTGTTAGTAAAAAATTCATGTAATTCCTTGAATGATGTTAATTTAGTATAGTTGTAATGGAAAAAATAACTGCTTCAGACACCAATATACTCGTCTTCCCTCTTCCCAGTTCATTCTGTCAGTGCTGACTTGAAAAGCAGATCGTCGACCTGAGAATTTGAGGTCCAATGAAATAATAAAACGAAATGCTCTTTCAAAGTTTGACAACTCTTTATTTGGGGTACAGTTTAGACTCTACACTTGTCCTTGTTAATCTGCAAACACTGCCATTTTTTTATTAAGGTATCATTGATACATACTCTTATGAAGGTTTCATAAGAAAAACAATGTGGTTACTACATTCACCCTTATTGGCGCCCCCTGATACCTCATGCAGTCACTCCATCAGTGTAAGATGCCACAGAGTCCCTTTTAAACACTGCCACTTTGTAGTGTGGTGGTGGAAATTTGGAGATAGACTTGGAAAGGTGGCAAAGCTGAGTTTTACCAGATAGGAGTGTCCTCTGGCGCAATTCAGTGACTGTCCAGTGTTACCTTCTTTGTAGCGTTTCAAAGTATACATCACTACTGGTGACCTACCAGCCATATTTCTACAGTTTCCTCATTCTACATTCTATGACTGAAATGAGACAGGAAAGGCATTGATGAGCAATCTTGGGAGATACTTTGGGTAGGCAGTTAGATAATATCTCAAAGCATTTGTTATTCCTCAAGACTTTTTAGTGGATTCAATCTCTAGCAGCCAGTAGGCAGTGGGCTCTCAGGGGTTATTTAAATTGTGTTTAGCTACCTATCTCTTACAGGTGAGACGCTGGGACTAAACCTGATCAGAGAACCCTGGGAAGATGAGTTGCTAACTATTGGTTGCATGCCACATCTAACATATGCCATACTCACCAAACAATCTTTGGTATCCTGGAATAACTACATTTACATAATTTTGAAGGCAGTGTGTGAGTAGATATTGGAATTTGTGAGAAGTCAGCAATTTGTTTTTAGACATGTGAAAATTAAGTTAGTTGTGATGAATTAATAAAGTCAGAGGCTGTTGTGTAAATTCACTGTGAAACATTTCACATTACAAACCTAATGGAACAAAAATTGTTTTAGCAGTTAAAAACCAAGAGAAATACAGAAAGCTCTTTATGCCCAGTCTCTTCACCTTGGAGTTTCCCTAGGGAACTGATGGGGACAGTGGAAAAACACCACACTTCTGAAGCAGTTTCTTACTTTTCAACTGCTGGAAGTTCACACTGAAGNCCATAATTCAACAGAAGGGGAGAATGACATGAAGGACAGATGAAGGCTACTTGTACTGGCATCTGTATTCAGATTGTCAGTAAATAAACAAATGTTATGTTTCTGTTTTGTTTCTCCACCCTAAACAATTGTTTTACACATTTATAATATCATACAGGAAGCCTAAAGGAAACCCAAGTTGCTACTAGCCGAGGGAGTTGAGGAAAAAGGATTCAAAGGGGTGTGGAAATGAGTTGGCATTGCTAAGGTCAAATGGGTCTGCCCACCTTTTAAATTTGGTGCAGTCTCCAAGCTATTTTAAGAATACTAATTCTCACCCAGAAGTGTATCATTATTCCCCATTAAACTAAGAGCTGTACTTTCATTTGAGTATTTTGAAATATCCAAAGTTTTCTTCAAATAGTGTACATGCCACTGAGAACTTCCTTGGCCCCAAAGGTGAAGAACCTGTAATCAGTAGGCTGACTTAGCATTTTATCTTCAGTAACTTGTCCTACTGGATGTTATAAATTACTCTTTCCCCACAAACACTTAGGATCTTCATTCAAAGATTACTTTTTGCTTCAACATTCAAATGGCTCTTGCACATCCATTTATAGTTTTATAATTGAGACCCTTTCGTGTGTTTCTTTTATTATATTTCTATTATCTTATCTTGAGAAAATTACTTATTACAGAGATAACTTTCATTAACTAAAGGTACATTTTTTAAAAAGCGTGTGATTATTCATGACTTCCTCATTCTTAGTTTCCTCTAATCCTTTTACTATTTAAAAATATTTCATATATACATTTGTTCATATTTTCTAGGAGTCCTGACTTAAGCCAATGTCAACCTGCTTCCAGTCATTTGTTAAAAATATGCATAAAGGGTGGAAGAAAGAAATGTATTTCTTGAAGAGCAACACTGTTGTGCACGTTTTCAAAGGCGAACTTCTTTGCTGGACAGAGAAAAATGTGTTTTTCCTGCAGAAACCTGGTGTAGCATCTATGGATGGGGCTTGATTTGGGGCGCTGTCTCCCCTGGGATTCTTCGTAGGTGGCCACCAATTTCTCAGGCTGACAGAGCATAGAGATGGCGCTGCTTTAGGAGGCTGCCCAGCCGGGGGATTGTCTGTCCATTCGGGATTGCTGAATGTCAAGGGTCATTTCCCCAGCCAGACACTTGGTTGTGAAGCAGGTTATAAGGTAAATCTTTCAAGGGACTGGATTGTGACAAGCACTATAGGTAGACAATAAAACCCAACATCCTCAACCATCTTGTTGAACAATGGGAGGTTGGCTGTTGGCATTTGTATTCAAATTGGGGTGAATAGCTAACAGGTTGCTTTGAAATGCTGAATTTGTTTATCCCATCGTGGGAAGCCCGACATTCCCTTCATGGGCTGAAGATTTATGGAGCTCTTTTTCATGGCTCTCAGCAATGCTTTAGGTCCAGCAGGGTCCCGGCATTTTCATGAACTCAAGTTGGGTTTCGGGAGCGGAAGTGCTCTGCTGGGGTTGGTCTCGGGGCTGACCCAGACGGAGGCCGCCTGCTGGGAAGTCGCTGGCTCACGAGACGCTGGAGTTCATCTACGCCTCCTGGCAACAGCTGAGCACCAAAACAGCAAACAACTGAAAGGGGAAAATAAAAAAACAACTCCTGTCTTCAGCGCATACACCACATAATACCTCGTCTGGAAAAAAAAAATCTGGCTATGTCTTTTGGCTTCAAATCTTCATACCTATTCTGGGAAAACGTACCTCCCTCCGGGGAGTAAAGAAAGACCTGCCCGGTGAGTCTCTTCCTAGGTCGTGTCTTTTTATGAACTTCTTTCAGTGAAAAACATCTGTTCATCCTTACATTTTTATAGTCTTTATAGTGGCTCTAGTTGTGTATGGTTTTGACTTCTGAGGGACCTGAGTTCAAGTTTGCACCTGGCTTGTTACCATTGATATGACCTTGGGCTAATTAACCTCTCCTTTCGTTCTTTTAAATAATGGGGATAATGATATAATGCATATTTTGGGTCGTTGGGAGGATTAAATAGAAAAATGCAAATAAAGATTTAGTTTAATTCCTTGCAAAGCTGTAAATGTTAGCCGATTGCATGATGTACTGTTCCGGGGTCCCCAGTTTCCAAACCCGACCATACCACACAGGATAAGCCCAAAGACCCGGCAGTGCTTAATCTTTTTTATTTGTGAGTGCTTCTAATTTGCCTGATTTAACCTTCCATATTATATTTTGCACAAGACAGTAGGAAAAGTACTTAATATTGATGTGAAAATTTTGAATCTACAAAATTCCTTAAAGGAAATGTTACTGATTAGGAACAATTACAGTGCTCAGTGCTCGACATAAGCACTGAGCAGTTGGTGTTAACATTCTCCAAAATCAGGAAGGGCATGTTATCTGTTCCTTGTTACAACAGATACCTCTTTTTGGACATCCGGTTAATCAATACACAGCTGTCCAGTGCGTTAGTTTGCGCGGCTGACCAGGTTGGCAGCGGGCCAGGCAGCAGCTCGCCGGCTCCAGCACAGGTGGGAGCACTTGGCATCTTAATGCTTGGGAGTCCGGGTAAAGGGCTGGCAAAGGTCGTCCCTACGGGAAGGCAAGAGGCAAACTAAAATTTTGTCCCAACCCCCACCCAGACACACAGGTGAGGACTGTTCTCATGAGAATCTGTGCTTCTGAGAAAGAGTTTAGACTAAAAACACAATAGGATCTTGACAATAAGAATACCGAACGTAAATCCACCAACTTGTCATTTATAGTTTCTGACTAGAATGTTGTGACATACATGGTGCTGTTTTTAGCCTTCCTGTAAACCAGCCTCCTGTGTGTGTTACCTGAGATACTGACAAATCAAGGGGACTGACTTTTCCAAGCCCAGGAATTGACCTGTGTCCCACTTCTGCACAGTTATCTTCAAAAGGCTATCAGCTGCTTCCTGGGGACTCTTACTCAGAGACACAGAAGGCAGTTCCAGCTCGTCCTTATTAGTGGACCAGCCCTTGGACCTTTCCATCCATTCTGGGCCTTTCTGTGGCCCCGTTTCTTCTGACCCGCTCAACCATGAGTTTTACTGCTGAGGATAACGCTATGCCCTTACCCCTAGACATGAGGTTTCTTCTATGCCTCTGCACAGCTCAGGCCTTCCTTCTGAGTGCTGCCTCAGGCTAGTTCTGACCTTTTTACTCTGACTTAATGTCCTTTCTCTCTTGCGGTCACGTATTTGGGTTTTGTTCTTCTGTGCAGTCTGCTTGTCTTCCAGTGACTTGATTGACCTTAGCCTTAACTGGGAAGCTCTCTTGTGTCCACCTTGATGCCACAGTGTCCACGGACGGCCCGGGCAGCCAGGCCTGGGCAATTCTGCTTGCCTGCGCTCGGAGCGTTGATCTCTTGCTTCTTTAGAGACAACCTTGGCTCCTCACTCAAGAATCACGTTTAACTCACCTCACTGAGCTCCCAGGACACCAATAACCCTGCGTCTCCTGGTGAGTGTTCCTTACCCAATAACGACATAAGATTGGAGCCTATGGGTGAGGGGGTATGAGGCAGGCTGCAGTGCTCAAGGCCAAGATGGTGTTGAGGAAAGAGGCCACCACCCTTAGGACTGACAACATACCGGCAGTTTCTCAGGTGCCCTGTGACCCCTGAGCTCTGAGCTCATCACCAGCCTAGAAGATAGAAGATGATGTCCATTCCTCCAAGGCCTTAGTGGACAGTTTTCACTGAAATCTGATATAATTTCCCTAATTCTTGCTGCAGAAAGAATAATTTGTGACCATACTCAGAGACACAGAAGGCAGTTCCAGCTCGTCCTTATTAGTGGACCAGCCCTTGGACCTTTCCATCCATTCTGGGCCTTTCTGTGGCCCCGTTTCTTCTGACCCGCTCAACCATGAGTTTTACTGCTGAGGATAACGCTATGCCCTTACCCCTAGACATGAGGTTTCTTCTATGCCTCTGCACAGCTCAGGCCTTCCTTCTGAGTGCTGCCTCAGGCTAGTTCTGACCTTTTTACTCTGACTTAATGTCCTTTCTCTCTTGCGGTCACGTATTTGGGTTTTGTTCTTCTGTGCAGTCTGCTTGTCTTCCAGTGACTTGATTGACCTTAGCCTTAACTGGGAAGCTCTCTTGTGTCCACCTTGATGCCACAGTGTCCACGGACGGCCCGGGCAGCCAGGCCTGGGCAATTCTGCTTGCCTGCGCTCGGAGCGTTGATCTCTTGCTTCTTTAGAGACAACCTTGGCTCCTCACTCAAGAATCACGTTTAACTCACCTCACTGAGCTCCCAGGACACCAATAACCCTGCGTCTCCTGGTGAGTGTTCCTTACCCAATAACGACATAAGATTGGAGCCTATGGGTGAGGGGGTATGAGGCAGGCTGCAGTGCTCAAGGCCAAGATGGTGTTGAGGAAAGAGGCCACCACCCTTAGGACTGACAACATACCGGCAGTTTCTCAGGTGCCCTGTGACCCCTGAGCTCTGAGCTCATCACCAGCCTAGAAGATAGAAGATGATGTCCATTCCTCCAAGGCCTTAGTGGACAGTTTTCACTGAAATCTGATATAATTTCCCTAATTCTTGCTGCAGAAAGAATAATTTGTGACCATCCACTCTGGCTCTCTGATAAAACTGAGCAGGGCACACTTCTGGTCTAGCCCAGTCTGTTAATTTGACTGGGAAAATGTAGGAGGGAGCTTCTCCCATACCCACCAGGTATCCCCTCTAAGAAGTCAAGGTGGGGCTCCAAGCAGAGCTGTGAGGAAGGGTGGGCACATGAACGTTATCATGTGCTGCCTGTGACAAGGGACGGAGCTGGTCAGAACTTCCCTAAGAGCACATGTTCCAGCATGGCTCAGGGCTGCTCTGAGTTGACAGACCCAGGAAAGGCCAGCCAGGTTTGATGAGATGTCGTGGATATTCTGGCCAAACTGGTAGCTCATGACAGGCAGCTGCTCAGGCTACTCTTTTCATATTTATTATTAAACCATAAAGTTTGCTTTAAGAAGACAGAAAATGGTGTATACTGCGGTTGTATGCTTAAGATCATTCCTTTCTTTAACCAATAAGCGCTGCCCATTTGCTAACCAGGCTGGGGCTCAACATAGGCTGTCTCAGGGTCTGAGAGCTCCTCCCTGGCTGTGTCTAGTGGGGCTGTACACGCCCAGAAGGCTCTCTGGGCTTGTTACTACAGAAACCTTGTCCCCTGTGCCAGGGTGGGACTCTGGCAGCATTGGTCTCAGCCTGGTTGGGGTAACCCCAGGGCATTGGTGGTACACAGAAAGAAGTTGCAGAACCTTCTGGCATGTTCTGGTCAATTCCATGGTTAGCCTGGAGAGCAACGCCTGGCACCGCATAGTTGATCAATAAAACCTACCACAGCCACAGCTATTCCTTTACTAATATCACTCTTGGCTCCTACTTTTAGTTCATTACCACATAACTAAGATGAAGTCAGTCTTCCGTTGTTGAAAAAGGAGCAATTTGTTCAAAGATTCTATACTGACAGTGAGATTCAGAAAATCATGCCATCTTCCAGCTTCATCTTTTTCATTTTGAAAATGAGAGTCATGATAACACTCATTTCCTCCTGCCTTGAATGTGTGCTGGGGAAATTCTGCAGTGCTGGTAAGGTTCTTTGATCTTCCTGGGAAAGGCACTATAAAATAGGAATTATTTATCAAAATGCTAATTGGAAATAAAAATAAGCGTTTTTCTCATGGATTTCCATATTTTCATTTCTTCTATGTTTTTAGTTCTATTACTCTTCCAATGTAGGTTTTGAATCCTGTCTCCTTTCTCAATATTTATAATTAAACCCTGAAGTTTGCTTGAAGAGGACAGAAAAGGGGGCATACAATGGTCATATGCTTAAGACCATTTCTTTTTCAACCAATAAAAGCACTGTGTTGGCAGCCGCGTTCAGAAAATAGCGCCCAATGCAGGGCAGCCGGAAGGCCTCGAACTTCCTAATGACAAATCATCCCACACCACTAAACTACATGCTAATTGCGCCTTGGCATAAGGACCAATGAGACCCACCAAATTGTTATGCTAATAAGGCATATGGAGCCGCACCAACCAGGTCAGAGCATGAGAACTATATAAGCAAGCCTCTCCTTCCCCTCTAGGTCCTGCCCAACTCATTTGTTTCACAAAGAGCTCAAGAATAAAGCTTTCTGCAGAAGAATCCTGCTGTTGTTGCGTGCTGTTCTTGCCGGCGAGGACGGGGCACGCGACAAGCACTGCACATTTAGAATATTGTTTGTACTTGAATTTACATTTACAATAAACCTCAAGCTTAGCATCTGGGCTGCGAGATAGAGACAGAGGGGAGAAAAGTCTGAAAGTATGGTTAACCAAAGTGATACCAGCATTGTTGTGTATGGTTTGAAACAAATGTGCTGATTTTTCTTAGAGTATCCTGAATAAAATGAAACAAAACAAAACATAAAGTGCAACACAACAAACAAAAACCTTAGGGACAATTCTGCTTCAAAATAACCTTATTCTTTATACTTTCCTCCTACTTAAGACAAATATAATAATAAAATTGCCTTCATATTTGAAAATTATCTACAAATGTTAAGATTAGTAGTAGGCTGTGTCTTGGCTAGGAACAGCAAGAGGGAATATTTAGGTTCCTTATTGACCTATGCTTACATGTTTGACCCTTAAATGGGGCTTAAATATTGCACATTTGGGTAGTCTGCCTCCCTCACACTAGTAAAAACCTGAATGAGTGATTTGCCCAACGCAGTGCTGTGAACAAGGATTTCTGGGGCACATTCTCCCCAACACATACTGAAAACTGGTGATGAAAATAAACTCAGGTTCACAAAGTTTTATTTCTGAACGGAAACTTTACAATGGCACTCTGAAATAGGGTTTCTACCTCTCAGGAAAGCAAAAGCACACTGAACCCAAATCATATTATTTCTGCCAAGTCACACCCCATGCCTCCCAGTGGAACCAGGAAAGAATCATCTGCCCAGGTTATTTCTGGAGCCTGGGGGATGAGAAGAAATTTTGTATCTTCTTTTCAGGTTCGATTCCTTGAAGGCAGATTTGCGGTTCTGGCAGCTTCTCTGCAATGGGTCCCCTACTCTGGGAATAAGGAGAGGGCGCTATTAACAGGCTTCTTTCTGGCTCTTGAGAGCAGCAGAGGAGGGAAAGAAGAACACAGTCTCGTCCTCTCCTCCTTGCCGCTTGCTCTCATACAAACCACTTTTCTAACCAAAAGAAGCAGAAATCAGTCGATTCTGGTGACCTTTTGTGGTTTATATTAGTTGAACTTTTCTAAAAGATCTTTTTTCTGTTTTGGTTTTTGAGTGAGTGATTTTTCCCTTGGAAGCATAGAAGTATATGTAGAAAAAATGGTGTGTTGAAATCACTTTTTAAAAATAGTCTTGATTTTTAATTCTTAGCTAAGAACAAAAAGATCCTGGTACAATTTCAGTGAATAGTATCAGCATCTATTTTGTAAGGTTGTAAAACGTAGAACTTCTTGTAAATTGTTTTTATAAAGCTTCCATAGCACTCAGAAAGTGACATTATGTCTGGACACTGCCTTTTTCAGCACAAGAAACTCAAACAACTTGGCTCATGGTTATGCTTTGATAACTTTATTTACTAAATACACTTTACTCATAACACGATTCCAGGGGAATTTCCTTTCAGGAAACAGTCAATGAACATAACATAGTGGGAATTTTCTACATGATTGAATTCACTGAAGAGTAACATTCTCTTTCTAGAATAATCATCCAGTTCAGAGACTTCAATTCTCCCTATATAACAAATAATTGGTACTTCAGAAATAAAGTGAGCAGTGTCATGGGAATTGTCAGGCACTGATTAAATGCTAGAATCAGAAAGTTAAGACATCAAGTTCAAGGAATGTTCAGCTAAGTCTAGCATACAAAGGGTCACCAGAATGATTAGCGTATAAAAATGTCAATGTTTAACTTCTCCAAGTTTTGCTTAAGTACAATGTTTAAGAGAGGAAGAGAGTGAAAATTCTTGGCTGGTTGTATCTGCATTCAAAAGTGCTCTGGGCGGAGAATGAGAAGAAAGCTGTAATCATTTTCAAGAAGTCTTCCTGTGCTGTGCAAACCTGACTCATCTTGACTTTCTCTATCCTATGGTTACATACACACCCAGAGAGGGAGAGAGAGGGAGAGAGAAAGGAAAGCAAACAAACAGAAAGAATGAAGGGGAAGAAAGAAAACATAAAGGAATATTAGAAAAGTAGGAGGATATTAAATTTTTTTCTTGGGCAGGGAAAAGGAAAACAAATGGAACAGGTTAACATTTAATAAAACAAGCCCCAGGGTCACACGTGAGTTTCCAAGAGGCAGTTAAATCTGATATCTAGAGCTTTGAGAGCTCAGACCTTAGTGTAAAAAAGTGCAGGGTCACCAGCAAGGGCTCTCTTCCCCGGGTTTGTACCAATTCGCAGCAAAGCTAGACCCTGGTCCCTCCTGCACTGTGGGTTCCTTGTCATTTTTTAAAAGCTCTCTCCATTGCCCTTGGTCTTGCTGGCAATACTCTAGGACGAGGTGCCTTAACTGTGATCCATGTTTGGGACTGGTCTGCAAACTGTTTGCATGTGTTCCTAATGAGATGAGCACAAACCCTGAGAGTAAGAATCTAGCAAATTATGGCAGGTTTGGACAAAGCTTCACCACAAAGAAAGAAACTAGGGTGTGTCAGAAAAAGTCAGATAGAGAAAGACAAACACCGTATGATTTCACTCATGTGGGATCTGAAAAAACAAAACAAGTGACATCAGCAACAAAAGAAACAGACACATAAACACTGACAACAGCCTGGTCCCCATAGGGGTGTGGGGTGGGGAACAGGTGAAGGGGGTAAAGAGGGACAAATTGCAAATTATCAAATAAATTGGTCATAGAAATGGAAGTAAAACATAAAGAATATAACCAGTAATATTGTTATACCTTGGTTCTCTAATGGGGTAACTACACTACCACAGCAAGCATTCAAATAATATATATAATAATTACAGAGTCACTATATTGTGCATTTGAAACCAGTATAATATTGTATATAAACTATATTCCAATAAAAAAGATAAACAGTACCTGTCCAGTCATCAGCAGGGGGTACCAGGCAATGAGAATGTCCCCTTCATTCACTGGAAAAAGGGTTTCAAGTGGGAGATTCCAGGTCCTCACACTTGGATGCTTACCTTAGGAAGAAAGACAAAAAAAAACAAACAAACTATGGCTTCCAAACTAGACCATTAAAATAATGTCCCATCTACTGTGGACTTTTGGTACCAAAGTCAGAAAAGAAAGACGTTTGGGCATAGGATCATCATTGGTGGCCAGAAGACTTATAGCAACTTCAAGGCTAAAACCCTTAAAGCAAAAATACTCCTTGGACAGGAGAGGAGAAAAACTTGCAAAAGAGGAAATAATCAGACTGATGAGCTTGAAGGGAATGTAGCTTGCTACCTTCCCTTTCTTACAAGCCTAGGACTGAATAAGCAGTCACTTTGGGAATAAATAATCCATAACGAGAGTTTCAGGGTGGAGGTAATTTGGGGAGGAGAGAGAGTGCAACGTCAGATGCCTCAATGCAAATAATAAAATGTTTTCCCGTGCAGTCATCCAAACAGTGAATGAAAAAAGATCCAGGGATCAGACAAAGCCCTGGAATGGCCGTGGGAAATTAGTGCTGATGCTTCCCATTAAAGCAGTAGCAATAATGATAACAGCTGAACATTTATAGAATGCATTGCATGTCTGGAATTCCATAGGGTTTTGAAAGAGAGAGATCTGATTCACACCTACTACCAAGGGAATGAATGAGTTTCCAGCTTTCAGAGGTGCTGTGAAGAACTCCCCACAGGAGTTCAGCTTCATTGGATTGTAGGGCTAAGTACGGCCAGAGATAAACTAGTTCAGGGCCCTTTTCTTATAGGCCCGGAGAGACCAGGTGACATCTCTGTGAAGGAGTCCTGTGGCCCCTTTGGCTCTGGACAGGGAGAGGCTTTGACAAAGCATCTGTACTGTCTCCTGGCAAGGTCTCCACTGGTAGCTCTGCGTGGCAGCCAGGCTGAGTCTTGGAGGAAGGGGAAGCATGGGTGCTCTGGTTTGGGTCAGGACTGCCTGAGCTGACTGGAGGCAGATAAATCACCATATACTAGAAACCACAGTCATGCGCGGTGTCAAAATGCTCCCCCATGATATGTGTAGTTCCATTCAAAGCTATTACAATGTTATTGACTGTATTTCTTACACTGTACTTTTCATCTCTGTGACTTATTTTATAACTAGAAGTTTGTACCTCTTAATCCTCTTCACCTATTTCACCTCAACTTCCCTGGACCCTCACCCAGCAACCACCAATTTGTCCTTTGCATTTGTGAGTCTGTGTCTATTTCTGTTTGTTCATTTGTTTTGTTTTTTAGTTTACAGATACAAGTAGAATCATATGGTATTTGTCTTTCTTTGACTAATTTCACTTAGCATAATGCCCTCTAGGTCCATCTATGTTGTCACAATTGGAAAGATTGTGTTCTTCTTTATAGTTATGTAATATTCCATTTTGTATACATACCACATCTTTATCTATTCATCTATTGATAGATGCTTAGGTTGCTTCCACATCTTGACTAATGTAATGTGATTTTGTGGGGTGAAGGATGGAAGGAGGAGCTGGAGTGAGGTGGATACTGGGGATACGACACTGAGGAGAAAAAGACTCAGAATTCAAGGGCTGATATGTTGGGAGATGGTATCTTCTAACTAGCTTAGCCTCCTATAGGTGCTACTGAAAGCCAAAATACTCTATGATCAAGTGTAACTAGTTTATCCTACAACCTGTAACCATTTTGAATTCTCTAGCAGCCCTTTCCTTGTGGGCCTGTGTACTTTATAAATGCTACTCTCCCAAACCAAATCTGCTTGAACAACTTAGTTCCCTCCTTCCGCATCTGCCTAAGGTAATTTACCAGGTGAAATAATTTCTGGGAAAAGTTTCTTTGGCATGTAAAGCACTATAAAAATGTTTTGGTATACTATGGCAATAACATGTTTTCAGTAATGGGTGTGAGTATGGTTTGTTGGGTTACTGAGGTATCTACTCAAGGGATGAGCAATCAAATAGCCACATGTCTCAGGTTTTGTAGCAGGCAGGGTGAATGCGTGGAGGAAAGTCACTCAGGGCTCTGCTACTTTTAGAAGGAGCTGTGAAGGATTCTAATTTCTTCACTGATGAATCAATGAATAAATGAAAGGATGTCTTCTTTACACCCCTGGCCATGGGCAAGTAACCCAAGCTGGCCAAGGGAAGTGGAGATGTAGGCCCATCCGGGGAGGAGCAGAGCAGCTCAGCGGTCAGGCAAGCTTGTGTCCTTCGTTCGACAAGTTGCTTAACCTCTCCAAGGCTCCTGTCTGTTACCTCAGAGGGTTAAATGAGAATAAAATATGCAAATATGGTACAGAGTAACTACTCAGCAAGCGTGTATTGCTATTACTCTTGAAGCAGAGCTTATACCTCTCTTCAGTGTAACTCCAATTTCAAGCTATCACAAATAGATACTGGTAGACAACATTATTCTTTATTCACTTGTGAGACAATCTCAACTTCTGATTCATTTTACTTTTATTTTCTTTTAAGGGTTGAAGCACCAACTGGTAGAAATTTTGGTGAGTGAATAATTTTGGTTTCATTTGGCATGAAGAAGGTTCTGACAATGGCTTTGAATCTTGTTCTGTACCAATCCGCAGTGGCAGCGATGTGCTGCCACACTAAAAGCCTAGAAGCACGATGCACTCCCTGAGAGGAAACAGGTATTAACTTCCCTCCTCAGCTGGGTTACTTGGGACATTAATCAGCCCATAAAAATGGGATTAAGTGAACTCTCAGTTTAGTTTTGTAGCTCACCTTTAAAATGTAACTTCTCTATGTGTTTTAACATGGGTTGATCACATTTTAGATGTAGTGAAAGAGCAGGGATATTTTCCCACAAATTTTCATGGATATTTGTGACTATAGAAGGAAACTTCCCGGAAGAGATAATGAATCATTATTTAATCTGGGGGATAGCTTTGGAGGAATCATTCCAGTTGGGGGTTCATAAAGCAAGTTTCCTAAAAGCTGTGTAAGTAAGAGACTGAAGCAACCCTCAAACACACAGTCATTTTATACTTTACTGCCTAATGAATATGTTATACTGTCATAAGCCTATCCACTCAAAACTCTGCTCTTACTCTGGGCCCCCCGAGGCAAACAGATGGATTTGTAAACCCTTCCCCTTAGAGTCTTACTGGATTGCAAAGCCTTTGCTGAAATTTTCCTGAGTTCTAAAGCCTTCTCCTCAGCTTGGAGGGAGCGCCCTGACTCTGTCCTCAAGGTTTGCCCTCTGCCCTTGTCATTTTTCCTTCTGTAGGGCACAGTTCTAGAAGGGACCTCAGGGCCCATCCTAGGCCAGAGTGTTCACCTCTCCCAACTAAAGTGGGTAAATTAAGGCTGCAGTGATTTTTTCCCCCAAGAAATGACACTTACTCAATTTAAAGGACCAATCTTTACGCAGATTTTGTTCTTTCTCCCTTCTTGGTATAAAATACCTTATTTTAGTAGATGATTTTCTCAAAGTCTCCTTTTGAGATGAAATTAAACATTTTCCAAAAAGCTTTCTTTTTAAACTTTTGCTCTAAAATCCAAGAGTCTGGGAACCTGTGGCCCAGTGTAATCCCTCCATTTTGCCCTTACAAGTCTCAGGGCAAGGACGTTGCAGTTCCCCAAGGTTGCTGAGCGAGCTGGGTCAGCAGAGATGAGCCAGCACTGAGCTTCTGCCTTCCAGCCTGGCTGTTTTTCCTCTATCATGCTGTCACTTGGAAGCTGGTGGACAAGGCCTTGTTACATGGACAAGGGAAATCCTGGCTATAGTTCCTGGCAGTGAGATAGGTCATTAGAGTACTCCAAAGGGTCTGGCTTTGTAGCATGATTCTAAAAGTGGGCACATCATGAGCAGAGAAAGCCACCTAGACAGCTGAGGCCACAGCTGCAGTTTACATTCTTTCTGGTTGGCTTCACCTGCTTACACTACCTGACAGATGTCTGCAGTAGCTGAGTGTGTGATCTGGTTCTGAAAGAATGGTGTGTGTGTGTGTGTGTGTGTACGTATGTACACACATGCACAGGCACATGTACCTTCACGAAGAGTGGATGGCAGGGAGGGTGCTTTTGAGGTACTGTGAGGACTCTGGCCATCCCTCCTAGTATTGTAAGGCTTGAGCTTGAACTGAACTAAAATTCTGCTGAGTGGCCTACAGCCCAAGACAAAACGATCCCATCTCAGATCGAACAAGACGTCTCTTAGTCTAAAGCAGAATTTCTAAGAGGCTATAAGTTCCTAAAGGATCTCTGGTTCCCACATAAATCCCCAAGGTGTAAGGAAAGGATCACAGGTGAAAGGAATTGATAATGCATGAAACAAAGCCTAGTTATAACTTCCCAGGGCTCAGGCTGCTGAGTGCAATGGAGAGGCCCCTGTTGCCCTTGTTTCCTCACTCCACCTCTGTGCACTGTGCTGCACGGCACATCTTCATACTGGATCGAGTGGGAGTGGGGTCTACCTGGGTATGCAGGTGAATGGGATGTAAGAAGTGTGCTGCCCCACAAGAGAGGAATTGCGGAGTCTCCTCCAAATGGGGAGATGTTCAGGGCCAGCACAACCACCTGGATTTTGTGCTGGCTGAGTGGGCTGCTAGGTGGAAGGGAATCGCATCTGGCCCTAAAGTTCAGAAAAACCCAGAGTGGCTTTTCAGTCCGTAGTTTCTTAGAACAGCCTGCATGGACAAACTCTAATCTCATTTGGTGTCCATGATTTTTAATGTCACATTGTTTTGCACCTGGGGAAAGCTCTCCACTGCCCAGTGCCCTTCCAGGTGAGGTGGTGACAAAAGATTCAATTTACTAATTTTCAGCCTGCACAGTGTATTTCCCCCATGACACTATCATCTAGACTGCTAGACTAGAAGTCTCCTACTAGTTTATTCTAGTTTGAAGGCTAATTTTTGTTTTAAAGGAATGTTACTTAGAGAGATCATCAAAAGGTCATCAAACCTCTTGTTTATTTACTTGTTTACTTATAAGTTTCCTGGTTGGGACTTCAATAGATAGCAAGATGCTCAAGCTAGCCTTCACCAAAAGGATCAAAATTCACAAAGTAGGTTGAAGGGAAAAGGGTGGTTTCTCCTTTAAGTGGAAGGAAGCGTGTGGGAGAATTTAATCCCTTACAGTTCCGAAAGTACTTTTTTTTCAATAGAGCTGAAACTCTTCAGAAATGCTCTAAGATTCAAATAATGTTCTTATCTGCTGTTTTTTTTGGAAGCTGTTCAGCCATAGACACAGAGGTCCAAACATGCATCTAACCTTGTCTTGGGGAGCTATATATGGGGAGGCTGTTGCCAGTTGGTAACACACACTGCTCCTCTGGCTTCCCCTGAATTCTTCACGTTTTTAATTCACAAACTTGACTTTCAAAATGCTAGGCTCAAGAATGCCAATTCAAATTTGATATATCTTGAACACTCAATGTTAATTCTCTTTGATCATTCTTTATCTTTCCACTAAAGTCAGATCTTCAGCATGAAGTACCAGAAAGAAAGAACACCAGGCTTTTCCAGTCCTATAGTCTGGAACCAGCAGGCAGGATAGTGTTTCACGAAGCCCACTTATCAGAGCAGGTTGTATCTAATTGAAGCCTTTAGCCTTTGTTATGAGCTTGTACCTAACAGCATCCAAATGGTTGTTCTTTTTAGTTTTATTAAAGAAGCCGGATCCTTCTCATAAGTTTTCCATTAATGGGATTATAAATTGATCGAATAAATCCAAGAGTCTGGGAACCTGTGGCCCAGTGTAATCCCTCCATTTTGCCCTTACAAGTCTCAGGGCAAGGACGTTGCAGTTCCCCAAGGTTGCTGAGCGAGCTGGGTCAGCAGAGATGAGCCAGCACTGAGCTTCTGCCTTCCAGCCTGGCTGTTTTTCCTCTATCATGCTGTCACTTGGAAGCTGGTGGACAAGGCCTTGTTACATGGACAAGGGAAATCCTGGCTATAGTTCCTGGCAGTGAGATAGGTCATTAGAGTACTCCAAAGGGTCTGGCTTTGTAGCATGATTCTAAAAGTGGGCACATCATGAGCAGAGAAAGCCACCTAGACAGCTGAGGCCACAGCTGCAGTTTACATTCTTTCTGGTTGGCTTCACCTGCTTACACTACCTGACAGATGTCTGCAGTAGCTGAGTGTGTGATCTGGTTCTGAAAGAATGGTGTGTGTGTGTGTGTGTGTGTACGTATGTACACACATGCACAGGCACATGTACCTTCACGAAGAGTGGATGGCAGGGAGGGTGCTTTTGAGGTACTGTGAGGACTCTGGCCATCCCTCCTAGTATTGTAAGGCTTGAGCTTGAACTGAACTAAAATTCTGCTGAGTGGCCTACAGCCCAAGACAAAACGATCCCATCTCAGATCGAACAAGACGTCTCTTAGTCTAAAGCAGAATTTCTAAGAGGCTATAAGTTCCTAAAGGATCTCTGGTTCCCACATAAATCCCCAAGGTGTAAGGAAAGGATCACAGGTGAAAGGAATTGATAATGCATGAAACAAAGCCTAGTTATAACTTCCCAGGGCTCAGGCTGCTGAGTGCAATGGAGAGGCCCCTGTTGCCCTTGTTTCCTCACTCCACCTCTGTGCACTGTGCTGCACGGCACATCTTCATACTGGATCGAGTGGGAGTGGGGTCTACCTGGGTATGCAGGTGAATGGGATGTAAGAAGTGTGCTGCCCCACAAGAGAGGAATTGCGGAGTCTCCTCCAAATGGGGAGATGTTCAGGGCCAGCACAACCACCTGGATTTTGTGCTGGCTGAGTGGGCTGCTAGGTGGAAGGGAATCGCATCTGGCCCTAAAGTTCAGAAAAACCCAGAGTGGCTTTTCAGTCCGTAGTTTCTTAGAACAGCCTGCATGGACAAACTCTAATCTCATTTGGTGTCCATGATTTTTAATGTCACATTGTTTTGCACCTGGGGAAAGCTCTCCACTGCCCAGTGCCCTTCCAGGTGAGGTGGTGACAAAAGATTCAATTTACTAATTTTCAGCCTGCACAGTGTATTTCCCCCATGACACTATCATCTAGACTGCTAGACTAGAAGTCTCCTACTAGTTTATTCTAGTTTGAAGGCTAATTTTTGTTTTAAAGGAATGTTACTTAGAGAGATCATCAAAAGGTCATCAAACCTCTTGTTTATTTACTTGTTTACTTATAAGTTTCCTGGTTGGGACTTCAATAGATAGCAAGATGCTCAAGCTAGCCTTCACCAAAAGGATCAAAATTCACAAAGTAGGTTGAAGGGAAAAGGGTGGTTTCTCCTTTAAGTGGAAGGAAGCGTGTGGGAGAATTTAATCCCTTACAGTTCCGAAAGTACTTTTTTTTCAATAGAGCTGAAACTCTTCAGAAATGCTCTAAGATTCAAATAATGTTCTTATCTGCTGTTTTTTTTGGAAGCTGTTCAGCCATAGACACAGAGGTCCAAACATGCATCTAACCTTGTCTTGGGGAGCTATATATGGGGAGGCTGTTGCCAGTTGGTAACACACACTGCTCCTCTGGCTTCCCCTGAATTCTTCACGTTTTTAATTC